TTTACATCAGGCTATGTAAACACGGAAACCATTTTACATTTCTTCACTATCATTGACTATCATGTAGTTTACCAATCGCTCTGAGTCCTTTGACGAAGAGCTAACGCGCGCAACGTCAGCTTACAAATTTTTCACGGAGGCTAATTTACGTTATCAACTCAATTGATAATACTAGATTGCCTTATCATGTAGTTTAGACATATTCAAATTCGACACAATAGTTGATGATAGTTTTTGCCTTTGAACGAGCGGATGATAGTGAATGACGTTTTTGGGTCAGCAGTTTTGCTAAAAACGGGCTCAAACGGAAATGACAAGGGGTTTAATAGCTAAAATAGTCGTCAAAATTTCCCAGAATTTCTTATAGTTCACTGCCATCATCTCCTGGTAGGCCTCAGTATCTTCAACTCGCATCTTCTTATCTAAAATTTCAAATGCTACCGAAATTGCGGACCTAAGCGCGCGCCATATTTGTTTACAATTATGCGATCTTATTGCGTGATTTTGTCAACTTTCATCAACTGTCATGAACCGTTTGAACGCAAAAACTATTGTTGACTGTCATGACCACCATGACCGTTGGAACAGGGCTTAACTCACCATCGAGGAATGAAATAAAGGTAATGTTGAGTTAAGTTTCGCAATGTAATACTGCAATTTATATATTAGTGAACTATGACTGTGGCCCAGGAGAAAAATTATCTAGAATGTAACGGGTTTTCGGTTGTTTCCGTCTTCAGCTTCTCTGAGTATGTCCTAGTTTATTTTTAGAGTTGAAGCGTAGTTTTCTATTCTTCTCCGAAGGTTTTTGCAGATGCAATCCAAATTCTCCTTATGTTTACATGGGGTCCATTGATAGGTAATTTACATTGTCCATTCTTATCTGTCATTTGTGAACCCCCGTGGAGACAAAATTACCACATGTAGACTGGCCAAATGAAGTAATTTGGTAGCCAAGAAAACAATAACCTGGTTCACAGAAGTGTCGACCCTTTGAAGTTCGCATCTGAATCAATCGGCTGGTGTCTCAGTTCTTATCAAACAGAAGTGACTTTGTATCTGTTGATCAGCCTAGATCAGTTTACTAACAACAGAGCCACCATGGAGAGAATTTTTACTTACATAGCTGCGTTGTTCACTCGTCTGCTGTTTTGCCTCCATGCCATTGCCATGATTTACTGGCTGGTGACTTTGAAGCAAGACAGAATGTATTTTCTGTTTTTACTTCTTCTCGTGGCTCTCTTAGTGGAAACAATAATCACTGTGGGATTTCGAAAGGGACATGAATATAGTTGGTAAGTAAAAGAAAACGATCTCAAGCACAAGCCAGCCTAGTAGTACATAGACTGTTTAGTATGCACGTCAGCCGCATCACTAACATACGGCCCAACGAATTTGGGAATATGTTCGCTTCGCTGTATGAATTTTCTTTGCTTCAACAATTTTCCAAAACGAAGGTATAAGCAAATAGCGCTTAAATCATACTTTTTCTTTGCAAAACACATTTTTTAATGAAGTGTGGTTGCCTTGCTTTATCTCAATGCAGACTCGGGAATTCGAATTTCCGGCTTTTTATTCTGGTGGCTTATTTTCTGTCAAGAGAAAAGCTTTGTTAGTCAGCTTTACTAAACATTCATGAAAACTGAAAATCCGCTTTTTTATTAAAGATGGCATGGTCAAACATGCTGAGCTTCGTTTACATTTTATCAAAAACGATTCAGAGTCGAAATAATTACGGAAAATAGCCTAGCACGTTCTTATAGAAAAGCTACAACTTTGTTGAGCTGTGAGCTGAATGTGAACGGTTTTTCTTACGCCCGAGTTGTATCCCCAGAGACTACCATTACAGGAAGTTTGCGAACAACTTGAAGTTTTTATGCGAACTTGTCTCAATCTCTTTTATGGATAAAAAGCTTAAATAAACATATACTACACCATCACAGAGTAAATTACAAATCATTAGAATTCATTGTTCGGTGACTTGGCAACCTGATGTACTGCAACGGCTCGATATTTCTATGACTAACGATGAGTAATCCCCTACTCAGTACCTTTGTTCGGATTTTAAAAAAAAATAGGCTCTCTTCACTATACATGATCTAACCTTTGAGTTTAATAGTTCTGAGAAACATGCTCAAGTAATAAAAATATTTATTTATAGGCGGCTTTGTCATTTTGACAGATGTAAAAGACGTCACTCTGTGTAAAATCAGTGGTAATACCTAAATATATTTGCGGCTGTGTCCAAATGCCCTGCAGCTGGGCACGGTCTAAATGGACAAAATGCCCGGCAGTCAGAATTTCCCCTGAAATATTCTTCCGAAACTTTCATGGGGTGCTAGATGTTTGTTTAGAGAAGTCAAGCGCTTCCAGAAATTATTTCAGTTTTTTTGTGACGAGTTTCCTGAGCTTGAGCATACGGTAAATATAAAATCGCTTGGTCACAGCGAAAAACTTAGCAATTTTACAGTATAAACAAGCTTGGAAAATTCATCCACTTAAAAATTCCAAAGAAATTTTTGAAATCGCTTGACATTTCTAAAGAGACATCTGATACTCTTAAGTAGTTTGAGAGAACCTTTCAATGCAAATTCTGTGAAATTTACTGAATGCCGGGCTTTACTTCATTTAAGACCATACCCGGCTGCCGGGCATTTAGGCACTACAAAAGATTCGAAGTCGCTGTTATAGTATTCATCTAATTTGCAAATTCAGGCAGACACCTGAAGTCTACAAGTAAGAAAACAAAACTATCAATAATGTTAAACTGAGGTAGATCTAAGAAACAGCGAATGATCAACAGTCCGGCTATATATCTTAGTCTAAGAGAGAATACTACTGTTAAATCTCGCTATTCGCAAATTTGCCGCAAATTGTTAAATTGTAATTCAAAAGCTGAGTTCCGAAATGCCGCTGTAATTTTATTGCTTCTCTAAGGCAAGTTTATGTAAATTTCCGGCCCAAAGTAATCTACACACATTAAAAGGCTGTTCTGTTAGAATGTAATGGGCAGGGGGCTACACAGTTCTATAGAAACTGAGAGGCTAACTCTATGAATCACATATTTTTCCCGAAATAGTTTCGAGGAAAACTTATGAATATCGATTTCCTTTTCTCCACACTTTGAGTCCTGATGATTTCACCGAATTCCACGAGTGCTGCGAAACGAGGAAAAAATTAAACAGTCAACTCGCACTTCTTACCGCAGTGCACCTTTAAAACAAAATATTCAGAATTTTCAAGGGGTCACTTTAATGACATACCATTTTCGTTATAAATGTTATTACAAATTTAAATTGTGAAGCTAGGGAGAGCTTTCTGTGCGGGGATTGTATTCGGTCAAACAAACCACACAAGAACACAAGAAAAAAAAATTACCGAATGTGAGTGGTCTTTCATTCCAGGTGCCCTAAGGCCTATTGTACGTTTCAGCCGTAATTCTGGCTCATGAAAGTTTTTAAGAATAGAGCCTTTCACGTAAAATAGTTTCATCGAGTGCATTAACGTGGGCTGTTACTTCAAAGATGTCTGACGTAGACTTTTTCATGAATTACCTTTCTTAGTCCGCCTCATTTCGTTGAAAGTCAGTCGATGTTCTGTTTCAGTCTGTATCAGCTGTGCGTTTTTCTATTTCGCGCAAAAATCTCGAGAAAAAGCGAGAAAAATACTCTGAATTCAGTTATTAAAGAATTTGGCGCTTGCATAGACGTCGTTCGTAAAATAGTCAGGGTGCTAAAAATTTTATTTTAAATGTTTCCATAGTTAAAAGCTTTTCTGTTGTCGTGTCGTCTATCTGAGCTACCTTCTTTCACCTCTCCCTCCATGTTTTCGGTTTGAAAGAAAACTCTTGATACACAGGCGATACGTGACCTCTATGAATGAAGTTGAATAGTCCTCTTAATTTCATCAGTTTCCCAAACACCTACATATAGACTGATTTAATTGTAGGCGAGTTATGATGGATGGTATTTCTCAGCTGTTATCTTTGCTTCCTCACATGAGCCTATACGTCTTCACTGGTTTCAGAACTAAACCTAAACAAATACATCTAGAAATTGGCTTTTGTCAGATGCCACTAACCATGCAGTTCACATTGCTGATTGTAGGTTTTGTCCAAGCATGTTTTTATACCTGATGACTATGATTCCCTGTGACTGGATTGCTAAAATAGAAGTGCTTGATTGCGTCGCTTCCAGTAACGATGCAAGTTCAACTTGCATCACAGCTGTCAACGAAACCGAGGAGATCTTTCAGGTTAGTGATTATTCATTGAAGATTAAGCGGAGCCATGAAAATGAGCAGTGAAGCGGCAAAAGGAATAAGAAGCATATGATGGCAATTTTGCTACGAAAAGTTGTTTTGTGATAGGTCGAGTTAGGTTTTAAATAAAGCGCAAGAACTCGACGGATTGCATCGCGCGGTTTCTCCAGTCGAAGCTCCATCTTTTTTATTCACAGCTTCGTTGCCTTCATTTTCATCCAGCGTTCAAAAAACATAAGCTACGCAGGCTATATTGTTAGCATATACCACACAGGTAAATGGTGCTTTTTGCGGCTGGCTAGTTCGGAAGTGAATAGCGAGTACTATTCGCCTCCGAGCAGCCGACGAGACAAAATTGAGCGTCGAGAGTTTAATTTCCGACAATTTTTCGGTTTATTACATCCCTGGTGACCCTCGCAATCTGATTGGCTCTCCTTTAATCACAAAATTTTGCTCAAAATCGCATCCTTTCCCAGCCAATGAAAAACCTTTACTATATCCAACAACCAATCAGATTTCAAGAAAAATGAAAGAACTTTGCAACTTTTTACCAACCAGCTTACTTCCGAATCAGTAAACTATTTCTACACACTAAAAAATTCCTAAATGTGAGCGACTGAAATTTGCGATTTCAAAATGGATGTGATAATTGCACTTCGTGTCCTGCGCGGGGCGTTCGTTCGATTTTGAAATAAGTATGATTTCAGATCAAATTGCACTCCACCCGATTCAATTGCTGTTATATATTGAAAGTAGTAAACTAATTTATTAGTACAAATGATTAAAAGGGGTAAGTTTTTGAAGAAACTGTTGTGCTGAGTTGGTGGGGGAGTATAACAAGATACTTTGGTTTTATCGACTAAGTTGATGATGTAACTCGGCCACCGCAAGGAGCTAAAAAGCTGACGTTTCCAGCGTTGGCCCTTCGTTTATCGCATTGAATCATCAAATTAGTTGATAAAACCGAGTTATCTACTTTTTTTAGTATCTGTGTGGTATATACTGAAACAATTATTCACCTCAGTTTCGGTGAAAGTGGTGGATATATCTAATCTTGTAAAAATATACAAATCAGCAAGCAACACAAAGCGCACGTACTTGACATGATTACCCTTAGAAATCGTGCACCATGGCCATACGTGACATGATTACCCTTAGAAATCGTGCACCACGGCCATACGTGACATGATTACCCGCAACCTTGACTGTCCTTGACATGATCATTGTATGATCTGCAGCCTGATGACGTTCCAAGCGCTGATTTCGAAAATTCACTATACGTTTTCGGTTAATCAGTAAAGAGAGACTGAGTTGGATGTATGATAATCTATAATATTATCATTATTAATGACAAATTTGAGATAACAAAAAGACTTGAGTGAGAAATGGGTGTCGTTGTAAACCTCAAAATACTCTATTGATACTAACTTCATAGCAAAATTAGTTCCCATATCCTTACCTTCCCTGACTCTTACTCACCTCCAGTGAGCAAGGATCCTTAATCAAAGGTCACTAACTGCAGCTGCTTGGTGATTTCAGTTGAGACTGTGATTGTGTTTTGAACTGGATACGTAGAGAAATCACGTGTTCTTTAGAAAGTTCTTCAATGAGCACCCTTTTTCAGTCGCTATAAGTTACCATGCAATAAGATTTTGTATAAACTTTTGTTTTAGTTTTTACAAGGAATAAACATCACCGACGACGAAAGACTACTGTACACCATGGAGCAAGCTCTGGTTCTCATCTTAGTCATTGGCAGATGGCTTCTTCCAAAAGGGGGAATATCACGTGATCAGTTATCCCAACTGTTGCTTATCTACATCGGTACAGCAGCGGACATTATGGAATTTACTGAGATCATCAAAGAGGATGACATCAGAAAAACTAACCCAAAAATGCTTCAGAATCACCACTTTGTCAATGCGGTTATTTTGTTTTGGAGTGTTAGTCTCTTCCAGTTCCCTTTGACCATTTATGCGATGGAAAGATCAGCACAAAGACTCGAAAAAGAGAAGGCTGAGCTGGAAGAGCGGCTCAGAAAAGTTAAAGAAGAGAAAGATTTTAGAAGAAGGAGAAATCAAGTGGCGCCCTCACCGGCTTTGTATATTTATAAAAAGGATCAAAGTCGAGAATACAAAGAAAAAGAAGAAATTCGGGTTAGATATATTCAGACTAAATCTGGACTAGAGATCAAACCTGTAATGACGTCAGTAACAAGCATGGATGAAGAGAAAGCTGCTACGCATGCTTCCCGAGGAAGATGTAATCGATGTTGGAAAAGGTTTACCCAAGGTGTCGACAATTTTGCAGGCAAAATGAAAGATTACACTGAGCTTGTAAGTTTACTTATACCGATGCTTATGCAAGATGGCCCCTTTCTTGTTATTCGTCTCATAGTCATTGCCTATTATCAAATTTACCATGATACTTTGTACTTTCTGACTGTCAAGAATGCCTTGGTTGTTATGCTTCAAGTCTACCGCATCTTCGTTTTGTATTACAAGCCACCAGAAGAGGACATCGATGATTTTTTTCCAGACAGCGATGGTTCTCACAGGCTTAACAATGTACAGACCGCCATTAAATCCGTACAGCACACTCGTTTAGCCCTAAGCCTAGTTTCCAGGCTCCAGCAGCAGGCAAAATGGCGCCGAAAGAGGAGCCTCAACTCTGGTCGTTTTAAAGTAAAACGTCCCTCGCATGATCCCAAAGATACGGACAGTAAGAAAGATGACTTGCCTTGAAAAGTGTGTCCATTTTGTATCTTTATTTTCCATTTTTAATAAGATATCTAATAAAATACTGAGACTGAAGAGTCTCAGTATAGACATTCCCTTTCTACCCACTAGATACCAACAAAGGATTATTTCTTTCTCTGATTTTGATTTCGATTTCAGGTTTACTTCTACAATTGGATTCAAATTCAAGGGGCGATACTTAGGACCTGGGAGCCATAGAAAGCCTGGTGTCAAAAAAATCTGACCGTTTTCGACCAGCATCAGTTTTTTTTTTGTAAATATATAAATCTGTGGTGCAACCGGTTGATCTGCTTATATTGGATATGCAAATTTT